CAAATCTCCCCAAAAAATGACCCCAAACTGACCCAGTGTTACAATCTGCTTCAATATTGCAGAAAGAACTTTCAGATTCCAATATTCCCTCAAGGAAAATTCAAACTGATCCAAGTTATCTGTTGATACCCAAACTGTTTTTATTCATTGCTCAGAGATGCAAAGAGGAAGAAATCAGCCAAGTTTGGAAAGTGCTCAGATTCCTTTGAGAAGCAGAGCAAAGATCCCCCCAAAAGCTCCCTTTCCCTGGAGCTGCTCTGGGGGGTGGGGGGAGAGAGAGAGAGAGAAGCAGTTTTGGGCCTTTTTTTCTCTGTCTCTGCCGCTTTTGGTGTTCTCTCTTTCTCTGCAGGGGGGATTTGCAGCTCTGTTTCTCTGCAATGCAGCCAGGCTGGGGCTTTTCCAGCTTCAGCTCTCCGCAATGTGCAGCTTACGGTGGCAGAAGAAAAGGTGAGGGCGAGGCGGGGCAGAGACCCTCAGCTGCCAGAGCCAATCCTCTTTCCCACTCCTCCTTCCCCTGCTTTTCCCGAATTTCTCCTCAACTTTCACAGTGTTCAGAGGAGGTTGTGTGTGGTTTCTTGGCTCGTGGCCCCGTTCAGATGTTCGAAGAGACGACAACAACAGGATCCTTCGGCAGGAAAACTCCACGGGGAAAATTCTGGTGAGAACCTCTGGTGGAAAACCGAGACAGAATTTTTGGTAGGAAGTTTTCTGACAGGCAGGAACAGTGGCGAAACATCATTGTTGGCATTTGTATGTCACCCGTCTGTTACCCTCCCGGCAGCCCCAGACCCTCCCCCAGCTCCCCTGAGCCTGTCCCACGGCCCAGCCCAGCTCCAGCCCTGGCAGAGCTGCAAACACCCCCCAGCTCGGCCCCCCGGGCTCCTGAACCCCCAAACCAAGGCTCGGGCTCACCAGCAGTGACTGACCTGGGACACAGAAAGGTTTCGAGGCGCTGCAGAACTCAGAAACGTGTCCATGCCCTGCCAGGCCGCCCCAGTTCTGTCCCGTCCAACTGAGCCGGGCAGGTGGGGCCAAGGCTCCCCTTCCTCCTGGGGAATCGCTCCCCGAGCACCTGGAAACAACCTGGAAAAGGCACAATAATCAAAACCAATAAACGACAAAACGGACTTTATGGAGCTGCAACACCAGGACGGTCCCAGGAGGCAAAGGCGAGAGGAGAACCAAAGTAGCACCTGGGAGTCTGGTTGGAGGAACACAATGTTACCGAGTTATGAGCCAGGGCAGGGCTTCTGGGAACAGCCCCTGCTGACTGGAAAGGGTTCAGGAGCCAGGGCTCAGTCTGCAGCCCACAGTCAATCTCAGCCATTCCCAACCACCTCAGCCATTCCCTCCAAACGCCACCTCTCTCTCCTCTACATCACCTCCCACTTTCCTACAGAAAACAGTGGTTGTGTCCCCTCTAAATTTCCCCAGGTTTTCAGCTCAAAGGGTCACCTCTGTCCCTGCTAAGTAACCTCAGGTTTTCTGTCCAAAACGCCGCCTCGGTCTGGTCTGAATTCCCAGCCTTTCTCTCACAAAAGCTCCTTTTTTCCTCTCTAAGGTACCCCTGGGTTCACCCCACAAAAGTGGTGATTTTGTTTCATCCAAATTACCTCAGCATTTCTGTGGAAAATGTCACCTCTGCTCCCCCTCCCAATTCGCCTCTGCTTTTCCCTCAGAAACGTTCCTTCCGATCCCCGCACGGGAACTCGGGTTGGACCCCTAAACCTGCCGCGACTAGCTCAGGTTTTACCCCAGAATTGTCCCTTCCTGTGCCGCTCAGGGAACCTCGATTTCCCCCCTGAACGTCCCTCACTAATTGCCTCGGGTTTACCTCAAAATGTTCATTTTACCCCTCCGTGAGAGGCGGGAGACCACCAGTCCCGGGTGCCCCGGGAACCGGCGCGGCCGCTCCTTCCCCGCTCGGTGCCGCCGGCCCGGCCGTCCCCTGCGGGGCTCCCCCGGGCCCGCCCGTTCCCCGCTCCCCATTTCCCGTTCCCCGCTAATTGTTCCCCGCTAATTGCTCCCCGGGCACGGCGCATGCGCAGGTCCCGTCGCTGCAGCCTCTCCCTTTGACCAGCAGGCGGCCCCGCGGTCATTGAAGTCACTGCGCACGCGCTGTCCTGGGCCGGGCCGCCCGCGCCTCCCACGTGACTGGGGCCGTGCGCTGGCTCACTGCGCATGCGCCCCGGCCCAGCGCCCTTCCGGGGCCTCACGGGTACAAGGCCTTTGGCGTTTGATTCATACCTACGCAAATCATATTTACACTTTCAAGGCCTACAGATCCATATTTGCAATTTCTTAGACCCTAGAATCCTCTATATAAATATAACAGGTATGAGGGTTTAGTTTTAAAATTAATTTTTACATAAATTATTTGTTAAGATATATATATATATACATATAAATGAGAAACTGTAAAGGCTTTAGCATTTTACAAACACACACGCACGCACACTCTCTTTATGAATTCCCAGGTATTTTTGGGCTGTAACCTCCCCTTTTTAGGGGGCAGGCCAGAGACAAAGCAGCACAGAATCATTTACATTGCATAAGAACTTTGAGATCCTCAAAGCCCAACCATTAACCCAGCACTGCCCAGCCCACCACTAAACCGTGGCACTCGAAGGCAGCACCACGTGCCTGCTGGGGGATGGAACCCAGGCAGAGATACCCACAGCAGGAATGGGGTGGGAGCACCAGGGAGACAGGAGGAGAGGCAGAAACAGGGAGTGGGAGCAGGACAGAGAAAGAAAAAGAAGGACAGGGCGCAGGAGGGAGATGAAGAACAAAACTGGGACGGGCAGCACGACAGAAAGGGATTAAAAAAGAAAAGGGGCAGGGAACGGGACAGAAGGATAGCAGTGAGAAACAATGAGGACAGAGCAACAGTAAAAAAAGAAAGGGAACAGGAGAGGGGCATGGAGAAGGACAGATAAAAAGACAGCAACAGGGAAAGAGGATCAGGGAGCAGGACACTGGGGCAGAATGAGAAAAAGAGGGGCAGGACAGACATAGGAAAAGGAGAAGCAGAAGGAAGGAAAGATAAAGATGCAGACAGGGAGTGACATATGGAGAGTAAAAGCAGGACAGGGAACAGGGAAAGGGATTGAGCAATATTTATTAAATTAATATGGAATATTTATTTATTAAAAGAGAAAAACAAAACCAAACTAGAGCAAAGTAGTGACAGGGAATGGGATGGGGAGCAGACAGGACAAGAAAACGACACAAAAGACACATAGAGGAAAAAAAGGGATGGAAAGTTGGATATAAGGATGAAAGAAAAACAGGAACGAAATGCAGTATTTATTACAGGCTGTGGCTGATGAACGTGTAAATGACCCAGCAGCTCAGACACAACCACAGCCCGGCACTCCTTAATTCAGCATCTGTTTGTTGGCAGGGCCATGAACCCCCTGGCACAGCGTGAGGGGCAGAGCTGAATGGGTTGTGTGCACAGGGTTTGGTGCTGCTCAGTAATCCCAGCCTGTGCTCTCAGTTAATGCTCTGATCTCAGGCTTTTCTCAGGGAAATTTCACCTGTTTCCATGCTCTTCCCCCCACCCCCCCCATTGTCTCAGTGTGCTCTGAATGAACGTGATGAGAGACAAACTCAACTATAACCTTTTCCTTGCTTTTCAGTCATTCCTAACATCAAACACCTCGTACTGGAGAAGACCAAATAGCTTATTTTTACCAGTCCAAATTCTGCAGGTTTTTGTATCATCTGTTTCCTGGCGTTATGAGAAGTGAGAAGTGTTTTGGGCAGCACAATGAATAAAATGTTCTAATTTTCAGAACACACAATTGCACAAGAACAGACAGCAAAATTGTCTCGAGGCAGTTTAGGCACACATTTCCCTTTTTGCACTCTGAGCTTTCTTTTGTTTCATGCCTGAAATTCTGAGTTTCTTAATACTCTGCCCCAGTCCTTCCCTCTCCTCAGTGTCAGTGTCACAGTCTTACGAAAACAGCGGAATTTTCTTGAGCACTGAACATCAGCCTTCACGTCACGAGGAGGGGTTCAGCAGCCAAGCCCTGCCTGTTGCTTCCACCAACTGTTCAGGCCAAGCACAGGTCCTTCCTCTGCAAAGAGTTTACACTGGGTCAAGCAGCACAAAAAGCAGCAGCATCAGAGTCACTCAGACACAAAACTTTACAGCATGAACCATTTAAAATAAAAAAAAGCTCCCCCCAAAAACCACAGCACACAACATCCCAAATTACAGTTCAGCATTGCAATGTATTATTATGTGCAACACTCGACATTTACAAAATGAAATACGGCCACGTGCCAGGGGTCTCAGATACAAGGCAAAGGGACACAATACTCCGGATCTCTGGATGTACAACACACGTGCTGCCCGTGGTGCTCTCTGCCTTATGTCACACCCCCACAGCAGATGTGGGGAGAGCCCCACGTCCCCCTAAGGCAGCAGCCCTGGCTGAGTCAGGGGGGTGCAGAGCATCACCCATGACTGGGCTGTCTGGGACAAAGCCCCAGGAACACGTGCATGGAACACCAACTGCTCTCTGCACAGGCAGGACTGACCCTCGGGTCTCGCTCAGGGTGTGACAGCGTCACAAACGCTGGAACGTGTTCTCCAGGCCAGCACACGCTGGGATGCTGGAAACAAACTGCACAGAACAGTGTTCTCCTTCACACTGCTGACACATTTCACCCTCTGCTAACACAAATAGTACCTGGGATAGGTGCTGTCAAATCCCTCTGCAAACCTGCACTGCTGCTTCCCTTGAAGTTCCTCACCAACCTCCTTCACCATTTTCTGCAAGGAGCCTGAACCAGCAGACTGACAGATTTTAATGCTAAATTAGGGTCTCTACAGTCTTTCTCTTCGCCTCCTCTACAACGTTTTCTTTCAATTTTCTCTTCCACCCCCCTAGTTCTGTCTAAAACAATGCATGCAAACAATAATACAGCTAACAATACATCGAGTTCAGGTAAAGGCACTGGAATCGGCAGTGCCGACGTTACAATCTTCTTACAGATAACACGAGTTACAAAAGAGCTCTCCTGGAACAGGAAAAGAAGAGAGAACACATATACTTTTAATGCAATACTCTAAAACCAGCAAGAGATTTATTCTTGTATATTAAATGTTAAAATCACATGCATAATTATAGAATACTTTATAGTTAAAAAAATATTTAAAAAACCAACCCTGACAGTTTACCTGCAACTGCTATAAAATTTCTATGATATATATATATGTATATATATATATATAAAGATGATGATTTTCTGTAATCAAAAAAATTAGAAAAGGATGCAATCATCCAGGTAATTATGAGTTAACTGATGCCCTGCATCGGACAGTCTTGTCAAACTCCTGCTGGCAAAACTGAGCTCATACCAGCCAGTTTACTGAAATACTTGTCTAGCGTGCAGATTTAAATCAAAATGACATTTGGCTAAACAATGAGTGTAAGAAAATAGATTTTTGCACACTACAGCAAAGATCTGTGAAGGGCCACAGTGTCATATGCTGCAAGAGAGCCCGTGGGACAAGAAATGGAGCCTCATGGGCTATTCCTTCAAACACGCTGGTGGAATATTCTGCAGAACTGGCCATGTGCACGGGGTTGAGAACACGGGTTTGTAAGCAGTGCTGGAAATGCCAGCATGTGTTGGAAGAGGTCACTTAGTCTTTCGAGGGGCCACATTGCCGAAGCCCGGCCGGTCCATTCCCGCAAGGAAAGGCAGCTTTGTCTTGGACAGGACACTGGGGGGGGGGGGGA